GCCTGCTCCCTAGGGCAACTCCAGAACAGGTGGCGTTATCCCCACAGTACAGGTAAGGGAGTTGAGGCACCCTGTGATTATTTAGTTGGGATGAATAAGTGCTAAAGCAGAGATATAAGCCTAGATCTTTCTCAGTTTTTGTTTTTTAAAGTGAAATAATGTAGTGCCGTAATACTGCAAGGCTGCTGATATAGTGTGATGAATTGTTCATACAATACAAGATACTTAAACGTATGAGGAGAAATCAGTGTCCTGAGCCAGGGGGATTAAAAAAGGCTGGTGGCTGAGTATTAAAGGATGGAGAGTTTTGTCACTTGCAGAAAAAATGAATGCATCTGAAGATTACCACGTTGAGCTCAGTAAGCCAGATTCAGAAAGACACATATTATGTTCTCCCTAATTTGTGAAAGCTAAAAACGATGACAGGAAAGCAGAAAGAGGAGGAACGGAAGCAGAGGAAGGGGAAGTGAGGGAAGGCGAGGAGGTATAAGGGCAGGTAATAGAGGCATGCATGTGATTGAAACACATTATACACATTGAAATCCCCCCCGCTGCCAAAACACATGAAAATAGAGAGGATGTGGGGAATGGGAGGCGATGGAGGGAAATGAGTAAAGTATGTTATGTGTGTACACGTCTGTCACTGTTAGTCTGTATAACCAGTATGCGCTAATAAAGGGTGTGAGTGTGTGTCTGTGTCTGTGAAGAATACAGAGAAGAATGCAGTAGGTGGGAAAAGCTTTCAGAAGTGAACAAGTCATGGCTATGTTGAGAGAACCTGGGGCTCCTCCTGTCGCAGGAGCCACTGAGGGGAGAGAGAAAGAAGTCGGTGATTCACTGATGGGTTGCTGATGGATTATCAAGTGGAAAAGCAGAGTCCACTCAGTCAGCCTGATGCTCTTAGTAACCCTCAACAAACAAAGGCAGATCCAGGTGCATGAAAGCGGGTCAGTGGGAGGGCATGGGAGTGCTGCCAGGAATGGGGTGGAGAAGGGAAGTGAGGCCTGACGTGAGAGGTGGAATTCTGATGCACCTGAGGCTACACTCTGTATGCATTTTCTCAGCCAAGGTAGCTGGAGATCGGAGAGGTGCTCAAGGTGAGGCTGAAGAGCTGGACGCCAGGTAGTGAGGACTCCCATAAACCAGCTGGAGGTGCCTGGAAAGAAGCTGAAAGTCTTAGGAGCCACTCGAGATATGAGAGGACTCAGTGCTGTGGTAGACAGGATGTAAGGAGCTGAGAGAATGAGATCTATCACTTGGTTAAAGGGCAGCAGAGTAGATATGTGAGCGTTCTAGGAGCCACTTCTACAGAAACTCTACCCTCCTGCCTTGGCCCATTTACAAGGTCTTGCAAGGGAGAGACCTTTGAGAAATGCGTGCGTGTGAAAGAAAGCCACTTTCATTTTCCAACTATCTTAAAGTGTATCATCATCCCTTTAACATCTCTATTGTGATAAACTTCCAAAGTTCTTCCTGTAGCAAATAAGCAAATTTAAAGAGATTGTGTTAAATTATTCAAGAAAGTAAGATGTCTTGTTAATGAAGTGTAGAATTATTCATTTTTGTCCTAGACTGCAGCTAATCTCCTACTGTATTGGTTTATTTTACTGTATCTGGACACAGTACCAAGATTGTTTGAGATGAGGCTGAAACCAACTGTGAACTCAGCCATTTGTTTATCACATGAGAGACTGCTTCCTGCCTTCAGTAGACCACTGCAGTAGTTCTGTAAACTTATTGGATGTGTGTTTGTCTCTCTGGACTCAACTACTCCAAGGCCATGATTGTATCTTTTTTGTTGTTATTGTCGTTGTTGTTGTTTTTCTTCTGGTACCAGGAATCGAACTCATGACCTTGCACTTGCCAGGCAGGCGCTTTGCCGCTGAGCTAAATCTCCAGCCCCTATGATTGTATCTTATTCACTGTGTATTTTTAATCCCTATCTCATTGCTTTAAAAAAAAATGTTGAATGGAGAATGACTCATAGTTAGGCACTTTTTCTCTGGTCCTTGTTACTGTGATTCACATCTTAATTCAAATTTAGAAATGAAGGATAGTACTCTGGACATTAAGATATTTGCCTGGACCCTTTAGGAGGGAAAGTACCGTAACTGGCTGCACTTTGGTCTCAGTTACAGTGCTGATTGCTTAGAGGCATGTACATGAACACTGATGATGGTGCTTTAAACCTGGCAGCCCTATGATGTGAGCAGGAGCAGCTGAATGGGAGGCATGGCAGTAGGCTACTGGTTTAGACATCAAATGGTCTAGGTCTCAGTGCTAGTACACATAGCACAGAGGGTCCTTGAGCATGGTGTGTTCCTGCCTGGCCTTCTGCCAGGATAAGGCCCCTTTATCCTTCAGTCACCACATAACCTGTCACATCCTGTGTTGCCACCTCTTGTGCTAGTTTCCTAATCTGTGTTCTTGTGGGACCTACGAGTTTTCTTCATAGCAAGTAATTGGTGGAGTAGTTATTTTGCCATCATCTACTTGTCCATATCTTTCTCAAGGGCAGGGACACATCTGTTCCTTTCACCCAGCATCTAACCCAGGACCTGGCACACACTGTGTTCTGGGTAAGTGCACATGGAGCCAGTGAATCGTGGTGAACCTGGAACAGGAGTCACTTTCCTCAGCTGTTTAAAACCTGTGTACTAAAGGTTATTGCTAAGATTCTTTCTCTGCAAAAATCAATGGATGGATTAACTTTTCACAGTGTTTTACTTTACTATAATAGTTATTCACACCTACGTTTGCAGTTGCAAACCATATAAAAGAATGTGAAATGGGAGTGTATTCATTCAGTTCAGAGGTAACAGGTTAGAAAAACCTGTGTTTCCCTATAGAATAAAAATTGAACCAGCTACAAGATGCTAGAGTTGAATGGGTTAACAGTGGAGTAGGATCATTGCCCTTGTTTCCAGTTCCCCTGAATTAATTTTTATAGTCTAGTTTCAAAATGCTTCATACTTTGTGTGGGACAAGCTTTTATAGAGGAATCTGTCCTGAGAACAGCCTCAGCTGGATTCCCATTGCACTGTCTTCCGTACTTCTACATTGCTATTTCATGTGCACACTGTACTGTCCCTCGTATTCTTTAGTAAAGTAATAAGGCAGGATGGGCAAATCAAACCTATGTGATTTAATGAATGTTTTAATAAATTTGAGTGCTTAAAATAAATTAATGTTTGAGTAAAGATTTTCAATTTAAGAAGCCCTGTCCTGAGGAATGTTGGGCTTTCGTGATGGTTTTATATGATAATGGTGAATCATTGAACAAGTGCGATTAACAAGGGCAGACTTCTTGAGTTTGGACGGAAATTTGTACAACTAATTCTAATTGTGGAAAGACAAAATTATATATATATATATATATACATGGTGCTTTTGCCACAAATTGTAATCTCAAGGAAAAATGTAGATTCATATTTTTGTTCATTAACTTAATGGTAGGAAAAATCTACCTTGGCACATCTTTCAGTTCTTTATCACAAAGAGAATATGAGAGAGGCTGCTACAGTGACCAGAGGTTTGGAGTGAGTTGTGTGTGCATGTGATGGTGCGTGTGTGCAGGAGCACATGTGTTTGGAGTGGGTGTGTACCTGATTGGTGCCTAAGGGTGCTCGGGAATGTACAAGTTCATTTCACTGTTGAAAAGCCAGTGTAATAAAACTTTATCTATAAATCATGGTAATTTAACTATAACCATCAATATATCCCACACTAGCTGAGATCTATGGAGAAGGTGACTTTGGTCATAGGCCATAGATGGTTCTGGCGTATGAGTCACCGTGAGTGCTAGTGTGTGGGGGGTGGGGGAAGGTAAGGGAGGAGCGGGAAGGGGCTCATGCTGCCTTCTGACTCAGCTCCGAAGTGGCTCCAGGCCAGGAATTAAAGACAGAGTGAAGTCCGCATTATAGGCTTTTCCATGTATTGTTGGCAGGATAGCAGCTGTTTACTGACAGCCCGTTGCTTTAGAAGGCACCTCCGGCCAGATGGAATCTCTGGGCTAAGGCCTAACGGACTCAAATGTTAAGGAGGTTTAAGTGAGCCTGGGTAGGCATTTGCAAAGATGATACTGTTTATTTACTATCAACCAGAGAAGTTACTATCAATCAAGATAGGTAAAGTACTAGAACAGCACTGTACTCAATACTGTGCGAGAGTCCACATGCACAAGTGTTGCCAAGGCTTATGTGATTGGACTGCAGGACTCCACCTTCCCTAAGAAGGGTGTTCCTTGAGTCCTTCTATTACCAAGCATTCCAGCTCACTCTCCAAGGAGGGGCCTATATAAAACATAATACAGCACAATTCTCTCTGCACCCTGTCACTCACCTTTTCCTTACATACTCTGAAAGGACGATTGTTGCCCTTCGATTCTGTTTCCTGAAGTTTCTCCTTGTCCCTTATGTTTTGCATAATATGTTACAGTAGTGTGTTAGTAATGTAATAGATACAATGTGTCAAACATTTTACACATATTATTGCAAATACTTAGAGATCTGCAAAATGGACATTATTGGCTCAGTTTATTAATCAGGAAAATAGCTCACATTCCCAGAGCTGGTAATGGGCAAAGCTGGAATTTAAACAAAATTCTGTCATTTCAAAGTCCATTTTTCTTTAAAAAATAATATTAACAATAGTTTTAATAACATTTACCAAGCCATTACATGCTGTACAGTGTCTTGTAAAAAACTTACAAGGTAGATACCTACTGAAGCACAATTGAGGATGGCAAACTAAAGATCAGAAAATTTAAGTAACTTGCCACTGTTATTTAGTGAAAATAGAACCCAAATTTGAACCATTTGATTTGGTTACAAAGATTTTCACCCACTGGATGATACCATTTACTGGATTTTTATGGGTGTGGTGCTATAACCCAGGTAAAACCAAGGTGAAGTGTTAAGGGTAGGGTTGTAAAGAAGAGCTTAGAGCAATGTAGATTGTAGGTTAAATAGACTCAGACTCTCTATTTCTTTTCTTTTTAGATGTCAGCCTCTGGAGCAACCAACCAGCCTTCCAGTATGAATCCCACAGAAACTAAGGTATGAAGGACCTTCAGGAGTCACCCTGGGTGAATGCTACCTTAGGTTGATTATATTGTAGTTTGAGGTGTAAGCAAATCAAATATGTACACTAACTGTTGGCAGATGAGTTATGTATCCTGGGAAGGTTATACCATGGAAGTGAACATTTTCTTCCCAGCTTGGAGGGTTCTGTGGGAACTCGTCCTTACTTTTAATGTTTACCTTGAACACACCTGTGGACAGACATCTATTGTTTTAGAATATCTAGAAAGAGTAGTCACTTGGGAGTGGTTGGAATTTTCTGTTTGTTGTTTTTGAATTGAAAATAATTTGTCCAAGTACATTTCTCTGGACCTAAGTTCTTAATTTCTTGATAAAACTTTATTATTTTTCTGGACACTTAAAAACAAATACAAAAACAGGAAAAGTTACATGAAGTGATATAGAAACAAGTGAAACACACTGGTTCTTTTAGGTGCCTTTTGAAATTTCTGAATTTAGGTCATAAAGGATACCATTTTATTAGCAAACACTTGTTGAATTCTATTTGGAGTTTATTATAATGATTTCTTGGAATTTTAGAAGAAAAATAAAAGAGTGTTCTCTATCTGTAATTGTCACGTAGAGTAAATCTAGTTCTGAGAATTGACTAAAGTTACCTTATACCCTCCTTTATTGTGTCTCAAACTCTATTTCTTGTGAATATGTCAAGGTATTAATTATAAGTAGGAACATTTGCAAAATGCTTTCAACTCATAAATCAGCATTCTTTAGTGCCTTTAAGAAGCATTCCAGCTTCATTATTATTAGGTTGCCTGTTTAAAGTCACCAGTGTTTATTTGTTTTCTTCCTTCCATATTACTTTCCCATCATCCCAGGGGGAATGCAGCACCATATTTATTTATTGATTTATTTATTTTTGACTTTTTGGGACAGGGTCTTTCTATGCAGTTCAGACTGACCTTGAGCTCACTTTGTAGCCCAGGTTGATCTTGAACTTGCAGCGATCATCCTGCCTCAGCTTCCCAAGTGCTAGGATTATAGGTGGGTGCCACCATGCCCGGCTGCCTAGCACCATATTGAGTGCTACCAAGAATCATATGGTCTCCTCTTAAACTACAGTATTACAATATCTGAATATCTGAAAACCCATTTATCTAAGCTCTTATAAATATCATTAATGTTTATTTTAATTTTTAAATTTCTTTAAATCTGGAATTGTATTTTAATATTTTATATTTATATCAATTTCTTGATGTTTGCAAAGTATACATTAAATGACCTATGATTGATTATTCCATTAGCTGTCATGATTTATTTATATCAAGCTTCATCTTTCAAGTCCTATCATTTTTGCAGTGCTGAGAATCAAACCCAGGACCTTGCACATGCTACGCAAATACTGTACCACTGAGCTATACCCCCCCCAGTACTACCTTAATCATAAAATAACATTAAAAGACTAAAGAAGAAGCATCTATAAAACAAATTTTTCATTGAACTTACAATCCATGAAAAGTAAAAGATAAAAAGGAGAGTCAGAAATACAGGATTTCCTTTCTATTCTTTTGGTTCACTTCTAACCCGTTGGTGATTCTAATTCCCTGTATCTGAAAGGCCAGTGCTTATTTCAAGCGCGCCATTTTTTAGAGCACGTGTCAGCAAACTGTTCAGGGATCATGAAACATTAATCATGAGGATTCTTGGCAGTCCTAGGAAACCAGGGGAGGGAGGACAGTAGGTGAGAGAAATCAGGGAGACACAAAAACAAAATGTACATGATGAAGTGTCACCAGGGCGTGACTCAGGACCACTTTTGGCCTCAATTCTCTTTGCTTGGTGTATTTCAATTATGCTACTGTCATCAATCACCCTTCTGCTCTGCTCTTGGAGGTGTTTATGAGCTTGAGCTGGATGACTTTATGTCTCCAAATATTTGAGCTTTCAGAGAAAAGGTGCCATTTGAAGACAAATCTTCATCTTTTTCTACAAATTTAAAATAAAAGGCTATCCCTGAAGGGGCATGATATGTCTAAATCCATGTTCTATATCTCTTGTCCCTGGAACAATAGCGTGGCTATTCACATTTAAGTGTAAAATGGAGGGTTTTAATCACTATGAAATCCCTGAGAGATTGGGTAGCAGGGACACCGAAGTGAGATGGCTGGGCTTGGAATCCTGCTTCTATACTAGCTGGGATAGTAGACAGCTTGCTTTGGTACTCTTATCTGTACAGTGTGGAGGAAAATTATAAAAGGGGCACTCTTTCACAAGAATGCATAGGAAAACAAACACGCATTGAACGGTTCCTGTCCTGAAGCAGATTCCCAGCATGAGTTGGCTGCTGGCCAGTGCAAGAAAGACAGTGCTTGCAGGTCAGTGACTGAGAGCATGGGACGCTGCTCCATCACAGGTGACTTTGTGAAGTTATTTAATGTCTTCACCTCAATTTATCATCTGCAAAATAGGTACCATAATAATAATTGTCTCATAGTGTTATTAAAAGTACTAAGTGAATTGGCATAGGTATAGCTTAAAAGAGTCCCTCGTGATTGATAAGCTCTAATTATTAATTGTCATTATCATTATTATGTTCAGTATCACCACTGCCTCAAATATATTGAACGATTATTGATTTAAATGCATATTGCATTTTCAGTTGCTTATGTGTGTGAGCATGCATTCTTAATTGTAATATAAAGTTTGCCCATGCAAAACCTTGATTGCCAAATTACAAATTGGGAGCCATTAATAGATTCAAACCACTCTAATACCAGCTGGCTTATTCTCCTTGTTAACCATTGGATAAATTGTATTTGCATGAACTAAAAAAAAAAGAATGCATAAACAGAGTGCCACAAATAGAAGCTCATTAGCAAGGGTGCAATGTAAAAGGATTCCAAATCTAAAATTTCATTACAGACATTTCTTCGATCATGAAATTTGCTTTCTCACCAAAGCAATGAGTGTTGTTAGGACAAGGTCTCATTACATGATAAAGTGTATGTCTATGCTATTGAACCCCATAGGTGATAAATTAAGAGACTATTTGACGTTAGCCTCTTCAGATAATAAAATAAAAAAATCGAAGTTTGTGCTGATACCATCAAGTAGAAAAGAGAGAAAGAAATGGCAGAAAACAATAGGCCTAATTTGTAATCTTTTCCTCTGAGAAAAGTTCATAAAATATTTTGCAAGTGTTATTCCTGAGTTTCTACCTTGCCCAAGTCAACAATGCACGCATGTTCATATGGAGTTACCTTTTTTTTTTGCATAGGTTATCTATAGCTGAGTAGAATGCTGTAAAATACTAAAGATCGTAAACTGAAACCAGTTTTTTATGAACACTTTTAGAACTTTATATTAGATCCCTACACCCAGAACTGTGACTTACACGGCAAAATCCATGCACTAAATATTTGCAAAATTGTTTTCAGATTACGTTGGCAGAATTTCAGAAAACTTTTGACAGCACCCGTGATTATTTGATCCTAGCCAAACACTGGAAATGTAGGTTAAAAACATTATTGCTCAAACAGCCTTTATACCAAGAAGGAAAGGAAAGGAATTAAAAATTAATTTTATTGATAAAAATCTTCATTGAATAATGTAGACCCAGACTGAAATATTTGCCCTGAGCTTTACAGTTTGTATGCCTACATCTTAGAGTCACATGCACATGCATTGACTGGATGCAATAGATAAGTAGACTGGCTCTTGATATAAGCATGTAAGCTTTCTTTATATATGTCCTTATTTGCCTGTCAAAGTAAAATTACACTTGGGGCTGTGCTCTTATATTAGGCACCTCCAGCCAGCAAACAGATGGAAGGACCACAACCTCCTAACAGGAAAAGACACAAAAAACAGGTGATATGGCTCACTGTACCAGGACATCTCTGCTTGCTAATTGTCACTGCAGCTGCTCAGCACTGGCTGATAACAGCAGTTCAGTTTTCTGCAATGCTCTGACTACATCATGGACTTTCTGTAGCCTAACCACTCATCAGTCACATTCTGGCACTAAAAATATATTTCACTGCTGTCTGTGCCCTCGATTCTGTCACCATCCCATTGTCGCCCATTTTCCAGTCAAAATCATTGGTGAGAAGTTCACTGATTAAAAAGATCCCATTAGTGATTTTGAAACAGGATCCGTCCGTGACTTTGAAGGATGGGGACTTTTGTGTTGCATCTATGTTTGCATGATATTATTAGTGATCTTTACAGACCTTTGGCATGCATAGCAAGAAATGAGATATAAACTGCCACATGAACAGAGAAGAATATTATTGTACCTGAGTGTTTATCTAAGAAGTTACAATTTCCAAAATATAATAAACCACCTCAAAATTATATTTTTAATATTAAAATCATCTTTCAAGCTTACTTAGTTGATGAGAATCTGTTATAGTCTTTGTAAACTATGTCCATGTTTTTCTTCTTTCCTTTTTTTGTTCCTCCTCCTCCTCATCCTCCTCCTTTCAATTTAGGCTGTAAAAACCGAACCTGAGAAATCACAGTCAACTAAGGTAAATGATTTAAGTCTTCTAGTAACATATTTGGATTCTTTTAAATAATAATTAGTAACCTGGTTCCTATACTGGTGCTGTGGTATAGGGATGTCTCAACTAATTAACTTTGGACTACCTTGTTGAATGTAATTATAATATATGTATACTGTTATAACATTAAATCCGTATATAGTTAAAAGAAAATATAGTATTTGAAAAACAAAACAATATATTTCCAAAGGCATTTTGTTCTAATCTCAATGTTTAAAAGTAAAATAATTGTAAAAATGAAGAAAGCAAGAGAAATAGGAGAGCACTTAGAAGATAATAGCTAGAACTACTTTATCACATATCTTATGCCAGGAGCCAGAAATGTGAAACTTAGCGATTGAATCGCAGGCATATGTGTATTTGTTTGCTCACAGCAGTGAACATCCAGTTACAGTTACACTGAGACACCAGCTTGATGCGTCTGCTGAATCTGGCACCTAGAGTGAATCTTTTCTAAGAGGCCAGCTGGGTTATTCTTCATGGTTTTTCTTGGTCAGTGGAGCTGGTTATCAGTTACTCAAGGGACAGTGCTCACTTTCCGTTGGGAATGGTTTCTTTTGGTATGCTGACTCATGGCTCATCAGATGGGAAGTCATTCCACCTTCCTTGAGAAGCAGGTCCCAGGGTGTCTGGGAGCACAAATGTTTCTCTTCAATAAAGTACTATATTTTATTTGTTCAAATGCTTAAGCAAATAGATAAGACCAAAGGGTTTCCTGTAGGAAAGCACAGAGATGCTTTGGGCTGAAGTACTTTAAGTACAGGTGAGTGCTGCATTGTGAGATCAAAGGTGAGGATTTTGTGACGTTATAGAAGGCCTCTTGGTGGCCCCTGAGAACTGTAGTTGCATAGGGGATCCTAGAGCAAAGAATCTGGCAGCCAGGTGGAAGTTGGCTCATAGTTCTCATTTAAAGGCTTTTGGTTATCTGCTAAATCTCAAGTAAAGTAGGTCTCTAGTGATACGATCTTCTCTATTTGTAATAAAGCAAAACCCCTGTAAATCAGTAAACTGAAAAAACTACTTCATTCATCTCTTGTAAAGGTTTTTTTTTTCTAAAATTAATTTCTAGTGTGGGTTCGCTGGTCAACAAACCTAGTGGTTGTCCTGATCACTTGACATCTTTGTAGATAGACTTGTAGTTGCCAGTTTATCTGCATGAATTATGAAAAACAGCTAGGAAATTGGAAAAATGTGTATTTGAAAACATCTCTGTCATATTCAATTTTCCATTATTGTTCTAATAATTCCTAGTAGTGGAGACTGGTGGTAGGGTTACTGTTGACCAGGCAGCACTCACCCACTCTACTCCCAAAGAATCATACCCGAGTGAGCTTTTCCTGAGAGAGACAGAATGCTTTAGTTGAAATTTTTATTCTTAAGTCTTTTTGGAAACAGGAAGAAAAATGTTCTCTAGTGTAATTAAAGTTTTAATCTTTTGAAATTAACAGCTATCTGTGGTTCATGAGAAAAAGTCCCAAGAAGAAAAGCCAAAGGAACATGCAGAGGTAAATGGTTATCCCCACGGCTTGATATTATGAGGTTATATTGTTTTGTTAAACTCTCATCATTTGAGGTGAATCCTGAGTCTGGGTGGCTAAATACTTGGGGCTTTTCAGCTAAAATGGTGCCACCACGTGGCAATAGCAGTGTTTACAACTTACTCAAGTGATTCTGGGAAGGAATTGCACTATTGCAAATTTTGTATCTGAAGTAAACTTCATCACATTTCTATCATACTCATTCAAATTCAGTTAAAACCACGAAGATCACAACTATTACAAATGGCTCTTATTCTATAAAGAAAGTATCAGTATTGTGCTGAAAATATCATCATGTTAACAATGTCTTTGTATGTGTTTATGTGCGTGTGCATGTGTGCTTTTAGCCAAAAAGCCTACCCCAGCATGCATCAGATGTACAAAGCAAGCCTGCTCATGGTGAAAAAGCAGCTTCCAGATCAAAGGAACAGCTGACATCAGAGAAGTCAGCGGAAGCAAAGGTAAACGAAAGAGTTCATAGATATGAAAACACTGTCCTCCACTTGCCATTAAGATTTGGTTTCCCGATCCACATTGCAGTGTGTAGTTGAATCTACAGGGATATGCTGAATACGTATTTGTACTGTCGTGATTTGGTGCTGTTATTTTATTGGTTTCCCAAATCGTCGTGTTGCTACTTGGGCTTACAGAGGGCCTGAAAAGGACATTAGACAGGCTTAGTAAAATGCACTGTCAAGCTCTCTCCCCCTGACCAGCAGTGACAGTTGTGACTACCAGGCAGCAGGCTCTGGTAGCTTCCAAACAGGGGACTTGGAACCTCTTTTAACGTGGGCTGGGATTTTAGGCATTATCTTCTGCTTTTTATTTTCTTTCCATTTTTTTTTTTTTTTTTTTCAGACAGGGTATTATTGGTAGTTGCCCACTCTGGCTCAAGCAATCCTTCTGTATCAGCCTCCTGACTAGCTGAGACTACAGGTGTACATCACTGCGCCCGACCTTACCCGCTTCCTTAAATGAAAGTTGAAGGATTTTTAGTCTTATTGCAGAAAAGATGAACTTTTAGAGGCAAAAAAATCAAGAAATTCACTTCATAACTTTAAAGTTAATGGTAGTCAGCTTTTACAGGCCTAAGAATCTATGAGTAGAAATTTTTGAGAGCACTTAGAAGATAATAGCTAGAACTACTTCATCACATATCTTATGCCAGAGATCACAAATTTGAAACTTACCAGTTGAATCACAGACATATGTGTATTTGTTTGGTTTACAGTGTTGTTTAAATATTTTTAATTAGTTACCAGCAATTAGAGTTAGAATATTTCATACAAAACTACAATTTCTAGCTTTTCTTGAAATTCAGAGTAAGGGTGATAATGAGATCACACGGCAACGATTGAATACAGCCATGGCTCCCAGTGTATACGCTCCAGTTTACCTCTCTGCCTGCCTGGCCTGCCCAGCCTATTTGTGGGACCTGCGTAGACACTGTAGGCTCTGAGTTCAGCTCTGTGAGGTACCTGCATTGCACTGTGGGCAGTAGTAGCCAGTAAATGTCCAGGAGGGCAAACTGGCAGGTCTAAGTGACATTTGAAACTCTTGTTCTTGGCAGTCAGCACTCAAAGGTATTTAGTCTTATCAATCTTTTCTCTCCACTGGCAGACTAAATCACCAGCCACTGTTTCTATGGGTAAAGAGAGTGCTGCTGCTGGTGTGACTGCAACTTCTGGCAAACCAGATGACAAGGTGAGCATGCAAGCGTGAATATAGATCTCAGTGCTTATCAGGAGTCTTTTATAAGAAACATATGCTCAAGTAACCTGCCATTTGATAAGACTGAATGGGGATTGTATGTGAACGTTTGTGAAGAAAAGCATGCATTTAAGAGATATAAAGTGAACAAGGTACTAAAAAATGACTCTAAAATTCATGTATTCAATGAACACTCATTGAGCACCTGCTGTATATAAGGCCTAGTATCAATGCTAAGGAAATTAAAATGTGAGCTGATTCAGCTCCTGCCTTCCTGGATGTAGTTGGTATGAAATAAAGCACATCAAATTTCCATGAGCATTTGAATAAGCATTACCCTCAGCTTTTAATGTTGACTCCAGCTGTCTCGATACTGTTAAATCATGAACATTCACTGCAGCATCGGTATGAATTGGTATGGGAGGCTCCGAGGGAGATGTGGCAGGATCGCAAGGGTAATGTGCTGTCTAGTGCCTTGTGGGCTTCCTTAGATGCCAGGCTGGTAGTGTGAGCTGAGGAGTCTGTCTTTTCTCCCTGTAGTAGGACAGAGATAGCTGTCACATCAGAGGATTCGTGATCATTTTGAAGCTACAGGTGAACAAATGAAACAATCATGAAAAGAGGGAAATTTTTTTTTAAAGAGAATGTAGTTTTTATATTCCTGCTTCTCAAAACGCAGAAAGTATTATAGGCTAAAGCATCAGGAGAGTCATAGGAGAAACGTTTGACACATTTTTCTTTTTTGAAACATTTTTTTCTCAGGTTTTAAGAGATAAGCCACATAATTTTTATGCAAACTCATACAGCTCTCCTGTGTAGTTGAAACACAGTTTACCAAAATTTCCAAACAGAAGCACCCACCTTAAGCATATTTCTTCTTGCAACAGGTCACATTTGTACTTCTTTCATCCCTCATCCTCACCCAAGGGATACATATTAGTGTCTTGTATCAGTAAAGAGTATTTAAGTGAAATGGTTTGAAAATAGATGGATTTAGGGTAGAGCATTACATGTGTTAAAGCATTTAAAGGATTTCAAAACGCAATCAAAATTTGAAGTTTTATGATGGATATAAGCTAGCCAGTGTTATCAGTGAAGGTGATAAAATTAGGAGAGGGTTGTGTGGTATTCTTGTGCTTTGGATTGTGCTGGAACTTGCATTTTGTTTTTCTTTGCCCCTGGTTCTTCTGTTAAATAGAGTTGATCACATCTACTATCATGTTTTAGTGCATAGCATGTTTAAATCACTGTGATTGACTCTGCATTATAGCTAGCTGCAAACTGGCCCATCCAGGGTCGAAGTATCTGGAATTGTAATTCAAGGCAGAGTATGGGAGGCCCCTGCAGGGAGCTGTTTGGAGAAGAATGGAGAGATTTTGTCTGATTCAGGGAATCTCAAGGGCTTTGAGAGTGTAGATCCCTACAGAGTCATACTTAGAAGGGCAGCTAGGATGAAAGGCTTGCAAATGCTTCAAGGATTTGAAAAGTTTCCATGTGTTGTGGGCACAAAGTGCATTCCAGAGTAGGTAAAGCTTGAGGAGGTGAGTGCTGGGGTTGAAAGACCAGAAAGACAGGTTAAGGCTGCCCTGAAGAATGCTAAGTTGGGTTTCTACTAGGCAGAGATAGGAAGGTGAAAGGTTGGTCAGGGGCTGTTTTAATAGTTCCGTGAGTCATAGTTTAGCCTAAATTGGAACCGAAAGGGATTAAGAAAGTGGGGAAGTTAGACAAGAGACACTGCAGAGCTAAAACCTTCCAGCTTTAGGAAGTAGTTGGCCAAAGTTGGTAAGGGTAAAGTAAAATCTAAGATAATGTAAAGCTTTGGAATCTGAACTAAGTTCGTAATTCCAAGGTAAGGCAGGGAAGGAAGATGGCTGCCAAGGGGGCAACAGCAAGGGTGAGTGTCTCTGAATTGATACCGAGGAAAAACAGGTACCCTGAGGCAAGGCAGACAAAGTGCTGTGGGAGGATAATGGAAAGAAAATCCAGCTAGACCAAAATCCTGTGTTTAGGAGGTATGTGTGGGGAAACTGGACCACTCCTAGTTCGCGGCACTCCCCGCCCATCCCAGACTGGGCCGAGGCGCCATTTTGAAAGGGGATCAGACTGAGCGAGGGCACCGCCCTCTTGAGGCAGCTGCTCGAGGGGATTCACAGACCTCTGACCTCCTGACTGGGTGAGGCGAGGAAGTTGTAAGCAATCTGGGATTCAGATAAAGAATGGAGCAAAATGCCTGGCACTTGCATCCTGTAAACTATAGCTCCAGGGTACCTTTTCTCATGAGAAAAACATGAGTCGCGTGTCCCCCTTCATACAGGGAGAGAGCTGGGTTTGTGGGACGCACAGCATCATACCCATGATTGCCGTTGTGCTCCCCGGGCATGCCCCCAGCACTTCCTAGCTGGGGACTGTGGAAGGCAGGGTGATGGAGGCTGTGACAGGCCTGTGAGCAGAGAATGGAGGGGAGATCTGTGAGAGGAGAGACTGAGACTGGACCCAGGTCAGATGCCGCGGAGCCAGAATGCAACAGGCGCTCTTCAGTTTTTCTCCGAACACCTGAGATGGAATAAGGTCCTGCCCATGCCCCACACTGGCAAAGAGGGCTCTCTGCCAAACCTGGGGCAGCCCTAGGTTCCCTGCCAGGCTTTAACAGATAGACACTGATGGCAAATGCAGCCTGGACTGAGCCCTTCTGACCATGACTTAAAGGGGTTAGAGCTTTTGGGGTAGAGCTGAGGTTTGTCTGTAGTGAGGTGGTATTTTACAGGGGGAGTGACTGGGTCTTGATTATGTGTCTGCAGTCAGAGCACTGGCCCCCACTGGGGGCTTGGAAAGAGCTTTTATGTTGAACCAGATATTGGCGGCCTGTGGGATAGGATTTTGTGCATATTGGGGAAGTGGTTGAGATGGTATTGAGCAGTTTGAAGGCAGTTGTGAGGGTATAGGTTTGGGGGAGGCATTATAAAGGGACCTGTCTATGAGGCTGACATTGGGAACCCAGAGGCAGACAAAGCCAGTTAGGCTGAGGAGTGAGAGGTGTCTGAGTGACAGTCTTGGGGAGAGGGGCTGTAGATTAAGATATCATCAACATATTGGAGCACTTTACTGTTGAGAGGCAAAGTTGGGTTGAGATCTAGGCTGAGAGCCTGGCAGTAAGTGGGGGCTGTCTGTAAAGTCTGAGGTAAGCCTTTCTAGACGAATTGAGTGGCAGGGCTGGAGGTGGGGTTGGTCTAAGTAAAGGTGAAAAGGGGTAAGGAGGAGAAAGGTAGAATATGTGAAGAGGGAAGGAGGCTTTTGGAAGATGACTGTCGCCCAGAACTCAAGAAGGTAGTCCTGTACCACAAGAGTGAACAGGGCACTGGGGAATCACTCAGAGTGAGCAATTGAAGGGTGTTGCCATGTAGGGATGAAAGTTTTGGTCATCACCTCTCACTGTTGATACTGAAGATTTAACTGTAGTTCTCAATAATGCTGACAGTGGGGAATAAGGCCCCCTGTGTGAGGAGAAATGAGATAGATTTATGCTCGACCAGAGAGTCACCCTGGACTCCTGTGTGGGGATGAGCCCTGTCAGTCTTTGGCTAGAACAGGTACCATTAGGCCAGCTGGGTAGGGCATTGGAGTGAAGGGCCCTATACCCACTTCAGAGTGGGGATAGTCTATTTTCTAGTGGCTGTTTAAATTCCTAGGAGACAGAGTTTTATGGGGGCCACAGATTGGGCCATTGCTTTGCCCAATGCCCCGTTTTGCCACATCACAAGCAAGGCCCAGGGGAGTTACTTTTGCTTGAGTAATTGGCCTGGCTGGAGGGGATGAGAAGCTGGGAGGCAGATGGTCTGGTAATTAGCCTCCTGTATACTCACTGGTGCCCAGAAAAGTGCAGGTCAGCCGCCCCAAGCCTCCTGGGTCTGCACGGACCTCCTAGAGGGTGAAGTGGGGATGCCTGTCCAGTCTCTCAGGAAACCATCTTCTCTGATGTGGTCAGGCCACCAGAGAATCAGTCCACGTCCCTAGTTTTGTCCAGGAACCACCCTGAAACAAGCTACAGACCCCCGGCCATTCTCTTTGGGACCATGGGCTCCCAAATTTCTTAGATTCCGGCCAATTCCCTTTTAGGTTCCTTCCCCAAAATCTCTCACCTCTCAGCCTGAAGAGAAACATTCAGCCCAAACATCTTATTTTATTCCTTCACAGCCTGGCCTAAAGCCATTGGCCTGAATTCAGTACAAAATTCTCCATGACTTGGTAACTGCTTGCAGAGAAGCAGCAAGTGTCAAGAGGTCTCCTATTTCTAAGCCTTTTCACCCTCCTCTCTTGTCCCTGCTTCTATTTATTCTGTTCTACCTCACACCAGATAGTAACTCTTCCTCACACAAAAACTACCAGTAGAGAAAGTGGGGCAGAAAATAAAGAGTAGGGGCAATGAAAGACTGAGACGTCCTCTTGGCTACTAGCTGGTTGGTATAGATTCCTAACTTGGTCACCAGGAATAGCAAGGTAACCCAGCTGAGTGCAGAGGCTGGCAGGATTCCCTTGAATTGAGGTTCCAATTAGTGACTCTGCCCGAAGAGGTGCCTAGAGGTTCTGCCATACCAAAGTGTGACCTTCCCTTCCTGGTCAAATGGTCCTTTGGAGGCAACAGCCAAAGAACAGCCACTGTCCAGAACCTTTTTCCAATTGGGTCCTCAGGATCAAGGGAGAAACTAGAAATTCAGTGTGTATAAGCATGGCTTTCCTTCTCCAGTCAGGTAGGACTTTGGAGGCAGTGGATGCTCAAAGGTCGTCATCCTGGACTCCTTTCCATTTGGGTCCTCAGCCTTGATAGGGGGAGGTGGAGAGCAAGGAAAAAGGGAGGACAAGGATCATCTCCTTCTTACCCCCATATGGGCCACCAAATGTAAGGGAGGAGAAAGAAGGAAAAACTTGCAGCAAGGACAGGCTTTATTGAAGATAAAAATCTGAGAGGGGTCGTTGGCTCCAAAGTGCCAAAAGCATCTCCCTCTCACAGAGTAAGGGTTTCTAGGTATTAGGGGAATGAGGAAGTTAAGGGTCTGCTATTGTAGGGATCAGGTCTTTGAGTCTTTGGTCACTGATCCATCTTGTGTTTGCGCAAGGTTTTCTATTCACGAGGCTGAATGTCCCTTGATCTGGAATGTCTTGTACAGTAAACAGATTTAATGGGCTTCACAATTATGGGGTAAGAGAATGTGAATAAGGGTCTCAATTCATGGGAAAATGTTCACTGGCTTTTCCTTTCACATGCTGGGTTAATGCTGTAACAACCATGTGAAGGTTTTTATTTTTGTTTCTATTTTTATGTTGGTTGTGGTTATTTGTTTCTTTGTGTGTTTGATTTGGATCATGTAGTTTTTTTGTTTTGTTTTGTGTGTTTTTACCTTTTACTTTTGGTTATTGATTTTGTGTTGGTATTGTTTTATTATTATACTTTACCTTATTCTTTAAGGTTTCCCCCCTTGGACCAGCTCCCTCTTTTAGTGCTTTTTCTTTTTTATTTCTTGGCTTTCTTTCCTCCCTAT